CAGGGCCTGCAGTGCTGAACCCCCAGATGTGGGGCAGGGCCTGCAGTGCTGAACCCCATAAATACGGGTGTGATCCCAGAGGTTCACGGGAGTCGGGAATCCGGGGCCCGAGGGACTTTGGGGCGCGGAGCGGCCGCGCCTGGAGCAGCAGGAGGGGATTTCCTGGCGGGCCCAAGGGGTGACTGCCAGGAGGTGTCGATGCCAGAGGTGCCCCCAGCCCTGTGCCCTCTGCCCCGGGGTGGTTTGCCAGGCTGGTTTTTCCCCCCCCCCAACCCCGTGCCCCTGGTTTGCCCCCAGGACCTGCTCGATGCCCGGCTTGTCGGGGTTGAGCAGCGGCCGCGTCTCCACGTGCTCGGGGACGAGGCGGCAGCCGGCGCGGGGAACGTCCTCCCAGTGCCGCAGGGCCGCCAGCGCCACCGGCTCGTCCGACGCCTTCTTCTGGCCTGGGGGGCACGGCGGGGCCTGCAGAGCCGGGCAGGGGGGCACCCCATGCCCACAGCCCTGCTCCAGCTCCTCGGGGGCACGGTCTGTCCTGCAGCCAGCGCTTCCCGACTCTTCTCCCTCTCCCCTCTCCATCCCTCCATCTCTCCAGATCCCCCCCCAGCCCGTGTTTTCCCAGTCTGAACCAATTCCATGTCCATTGACATGTTCTCCCCCCTCTCCCACTGCCTGGGGATGCAGTTCCCTGGAGAACAGCTTCCTGAGCCCTGGAAAGGCCAGTTGGGCTTTGCTCCCAGGGGGCAGAACTGCCCAATGCTCTCCCTTTCCTTTGGGACAGTCTGTCCTTCAGCCAACTCTTCCTGACTCCTCTCCTTCTCCTCTCCATCCCTCCAGATCCCCCCCCAGCCCGTGTTTTCCCAGTCTGAACCAATCCCACGTCCACTGACATGTTCTCCTCCATCTCCCACTGCCTGGGGGTGCAGTTCCCTGGAGAACAGCTTCCTGAGCCCTGGGAAGGCCAGTTGGGCCTTGCTCCCAGGGCTAGAACTCTCCCTCTCCTTGGGGACAGTCTGTCCTTCAGCCAACGCTTCCTGACTCCTCTCCTTCTCCTCTCCATCCCTCCATCTCTCCAGATCCCCCCCCCAGCCCATGTTTTCCCAGTCTGAACCAATTCCGTGTCCACTGACACGTTCTCCCCCTCTTCTTCACCCCCGACCCCCCTCCCTCTCTCCTGGGGACGCGCCAGCAGGTCCCTTTGGGGTGAGGGTTTTACAGGTTTGGGGTGATGGGGCCGCTCGATCCGTCTCGGGGAGGGTTGGACTGGACAACCTCCTAAGGTCCTTCCCAACCCAACCCATCCCGTGGTTCCAACTGCTCCGTGATCCCAATCCTGGAGGACGAGGGGACAGCCCGGGCCCCGCTGCCCTGCCCAGCCCTCCCCCCAGGGGCTCCTACCGTTCTCATCCTCGATCTCCGTGGGGCCGGTGAAGACCCTGTTGGCGACTTTGACTCTCCCTCCCGGCCCGAAGTGTGGCCCGTCCACCTTGCCCTCCTTGCACAGCTTGGCCAGGATCTGGGAGGGCTTCATGGGGTCCCTCCAGGCGTTGTAGCCGTGGCTGTGAACGGGAGAGCCAGGCAAGACTTGGCTTTTCCAGGCCGTTCCATCCCCCCTTCCCAGCCAAACCAACCCTGGGCCCGGGATTCCCAGGGAAAGGATTTGGTGAAACTTGAGAGCAGACTGGGATCCTCTTGCCCCCAGTCCACAAACACCTGGACAAAGCCCTCGAGATCCCGGGGCATCCCACCCGATTCCTGATTTTCAGCGTCGCTCCTTGGGCCCCGCTGCTGTTTCAGCTCCGACCTCACCCCTCTTCCCGTTCCCCCAGCGCTTCCCGTCCCGGAATCCCGACAACCCACCGCCCTCCCCGCTGTGCTGCTCCCAAAACCTGTCTGGGGTGGGCTCTGGAAGGTGAGGAGGAGGAGGAGGGTGCAGGAGGAAGGGTGGGCAGGGAAAGCTCTGGAAGGTGAGGAGGAGGAGGGTGCAGGAGGAAGGAAAGGTCTGGAAGGTGAGGAGGAGGAGGGTGCAGGAGGAAGGAAAGC